CCTTTCCAAAATAACCATCCTATGCTTACCAAGTCTAAGACCCAGTTAGTGTCCACTTGTTTCTTAGCATCCACTGATTCCAAAGAACCATCTTCTTACAAAGAAGCAGTTTAATCTTCTTAATGGCAAGCTGCAATGCTGAATGAGTTTCAAGCCTTACAAAGACAATCCACATGGTCTTTTATGCCATTACCTTCTAGCAAATCTGCTATTGGTTCTAAATGGGTGTACAAAATCAAGAAAAATCCAGATGGCACTATTGTACGATATAAGGCCAGTTTGGTTGCTAAGGGTTTCCACCAAACAGAGGGCATTGATTTTCATGAGACATTTAGCCCTATGGCCAAATAGGCAACTATCAGAGTTCTTTTAATTGGTAGTGACTCTTCTTCTATTGCTTAACTTGTTAAGCAAATGCACTCCACTTTTGCCATGAAAGAACTTGGGTTTATCAACTATTTTCTTGGCATTCCAATCACTTCTTCCTCTCAAGGATATTTCCTCTCTCGGCACAAATATGCTACTGAGATCCTTGCCAAAGCTGGCATGTCTGACTGTAAATCTTATTCCTCTCCTATGGCTCTCAAACATATTGATTCCTCTCCTGATATCCCATTTCTAATCCTTCTCTTTATTGAAGCATTGTTGGTGCTCTTTAATACTTAACTATAACTCGTCTTGATCTTTTCTTTGCTGTGAACTATGCTTGTGATAACCCTGTCTCGTGTTATGCTAATTAATCCTAATTATGCTTATAATTATGAGTTTGATATGATTTTGAATGCTAATTATATGATTATATGTGTTTTTGAATTTCTATTTGTTCACCGTAGGAAAATCTGTTCAACTTACCACTATAATTTGAAATTGAAAACTGTACAGGTTACAAAAACTGAAATTGTCTGCACCATTGTATTAAGTGTGATTTTTAGAGCCTATGGTAAGATTTAATTAAAAATTGATTTGGATCAGAATGATTAGATCAAACTAATTAATTAAATACAATTACTTAGCCTTAATCAAATTTGATTAGGCAATCATATATAAGAGCCTAATTACACTTATACTCATTTCCTTGGAGCTCAAATATCAGAAATAAGCACTCTAGAGAGAGAGAGTGAACTGAATTTAGAGAGAGAAAGGGTTCAACATTGAAGATTTTGCAAGGGAATTAGAGAACTGAGTGGATTAGCACATGATTTAACTATATTTGGGAGGATTGGAGCTTCTAGGTGAGTAACCAACCCTTAATTCATGAGTTTAAACTAAAAATTATGTGCACTCAAAGAGAGTTGGTGATCAAGAACAAGAATTGGATTGAATGTAATGAAATTGGAGTTGTATATACATGCATGTTTGCATTCACCATGATTATGTTCATTTGAGCATGAAACATGAAGAATTGAGTACCAAATCATACATGCAAGCATAGTTTTGTTAAGCCACATGATTTTGATCATCATTCCTACCATTTGAAATGGTATTAGAGTCTATATTACACATGCATGCATAATCCGTGTAGTTATGAAGCTTGGTTGCATGTGTTTTGAGGTTGTCAAGAAGAATATGAAATGATTTGAGAATTGGATCATGGTTTTGGACAATTGGTCCCAAATTGTCTATATTCTCATGCTATGTAATGTCTTCCCATGTTTTTGTACCAAAAACACGAGCTTTGGACCTTTGAACATCAAGTTTGAGCTTCAAATACAGTTCTGGAAATTCCATAATTCGTCGTGGCCGCTCGAGCAGGGAAAGTGCCGCTCTAGCGTAAAATACTAGCTCCTAGAAGTTTCACAGACATTGATGTCCGCTTGAGCGAGAATAATCACGCTCGAGCGCCCACTCGTATGATTTGATCCATGGCTCGAGCGACTAAAGTCATGCTTGAGCACAAAATTGAGGTAACCAGTACTTTTGCAGAGCAAAGGGGTCCGCTCGAGCGGAGAACCTTATATTAGAAATTTGAAAAGTTATTTTGTGTTTCATTTTCCGTTCTCTTTCACTTCTAAGCACTCTTAGGCATGCATTAAGAATTGTAAATGAACTAACAGGATATGAAAGAGGCCTAAGAGAAATGAATAACTTAAGAACAAATCGAATCGCTTGTGACCCAATGTATTGTGAAATGTGTAGGGTCGAGCGCAAAGGCAAATCCATCGGCAGAACACTGTGAGTAATATCTTAGTAAGAATGTGTTAAAGTATGTTACTTTCCAAATGCTCACTTATGTAAGAGTTCTACGGATTTGTTAATTTGAATCGAATATTCGTTATGCCAATGACTGAATAAGACCGATGTAATATGATTATGATTATGACATGCTTATGATCTCAAGTATGAAAAGTGCATAAATATAAATGATTGGGCCAAAGCTCGTTTGACACGAATGATTGGACCAAAGGCCGTTTGACATGAATGATTGGGATAAAGGTCGTTTGACATAAACGATTGGGCCAAAGGCCGTTTGACATAAATGATTGGGCCAAAGGCCGTTTGACATAAACGATTGGGCCAAAAGCTGTTTGACACGAACGATTGGGCCAAAGGTCGTTTGACACGAATGATTGGGCCAAAGGCCATTTGATAAGAACGAATTGGGCCCGAGGCCGTTTGATATGTTGGGCCTGAGATTGTTTGATGTATTAGATAGAAATATGAATGGGCCTAAGGCCGTTTGATATGTTTGTTACGAATTTCATTCATGTGACTTCTTTATTTGATATTATTCACTGGGCTTTCGCTCACTCTCATTTATATGCATGTAGGTGAGCAAAAAGATGTCCAAACCTAGCCCCAATGAAGAATAAGAGAGGAAGTCAGTTTTATGGAGTTAGCCCGAATGTCTCACGCAAGACACTTTGTTTTTTTGTACTTTTGTTTACTTTCTTTTGCTATCTTGGTGAATACATTGGATCACCTATGTACATAAACTTTTGCTTGGCTAACTACATGTTTGAAGTTCCTTGATATACAAGATGTTAATTCTGTCTATATGTGTGAGTTATTATGGAATGCTTTTGGAATAATTCTGTTATGCCATATAAGTACAGCTCATTGGACAATTTTTTTTTTTTAAATTTGCTTCCGTTTTGCCCCTTATTTCTACTGATATATGTTTAATCAGGTTTGAGGCCGCAGGTAATTTCTTGATTACTGGCCAGTTATGACCTTAATCTATAGGGATAGGTTCGGGTCATGACAATGCTTGCCAGTTTATGCATTTGCCTCTTGCTCATGTTAAACACCTTCTGAGATATCTTAAAGGTACTCTCGACCTTGGGCTTCAATTTAGTCCTGGTCCTTTCATTCTTCAAGCTTACTCTGACTCTGATTGGGTTGGCAACTCTTATGATAAAAGATCTACTGCCGACTATTGTATTTTCCTTCGCTCCAATTTGATCTCTTGGTTTGCTAAAAAGCAACCCACTGTGGCCCGCTCTTCTATTGAGACCGAATATCGAGCCTTAGCTCAAACAGCAGCAGAGCTTAGTTGGCTTACCATGCTCTTATCTGATCTTCACATTTCAGTTCCTGCACCTACTCTTTGGTGTGATAATATATCTGCTATCTCTTTTTCCTCTAATCCTGTCTTCCAGGCCCGAACAAAACACACAGAAGTTGATTACCATTATCTTCGCGAGAGAGTAGCAACTAAACAGCTCCAAATTAGTCACATTTCGACTTCTGATCAATTGGCTGATATTTTTACAAAACCCCTTTTCCAAGACAGAGTCACAAGCAAAGTCTCAACCTCAATCATGAATAGAACTACACTAGTTGTAGACCAAGCCCCAGCCCCAGCTCCCGCTCAAGGAGTTGGTCAAGCCATCTGTGGCTAATGCTCATGGGATGGGCATGTGTATGAAGTTGAGGAGGTTACAATCCACTTGTGTTGGTTAGAAGAATCTGTTAGGAAGTTATATAAACATAACCATGGTTAGTTAGTTGATGTATTGAGTTAGGCAGTTACAGTGATTGTATAAGAGACACAGTTGTATTGATTGGAATATTATGGAAATAAAAATGATCTTCAAATTCTTTTAGATTTCAAGTGCAAAACTTGGTTATTTTTCAATAGTATTCACGTATGATTTTAGCTGTTAGTATAAACACTAAGGTTCCATTTATTTTAACGTAAAATATTTTATATCAAAAAATATTTTTCATGTAAAATAATTTTATGCAAAAAAAATAAATTTTCTTCCTATTTTTCAGTGTTTGGCTGATATTTGTAAAATATTTTTCCAAATACTCATATTGCACTTTCTCTAACTTGCAATTAGTTGTGGACATTGAATTGATACTAAGAGAACCAATCATTCGTGTCGGCACTCCTCAATTATCGAGAGGAGTCTAACAACTCAACAGAAAACAACTTAAGGAATTTTAAAATCAAATTTATTTTTGGACCCTTCATGAAAAATATTGGTTTAACAAAAATATTTTACTTACTTTATATCCAATCAAATAATGAAAAACGATTAAAATATTTTTTTTTTCATGAATACTTCACGCGAAACAAACGAAACCTATTTGTTTTTTTTTTTTTTTCCATATATTTCCGATCACAATCAAAATAATAATCAGAATAAGTCACAACTAATATTACAATTAGTCAAAACTTAAAAAATAATGAATCATAACTAATACCATAATAGTTCGTAACCAAATACCACCGACATCATAACTAGGCATATGATACATGATTGAAAATTGAAGCTACGTTTGGCAACTCTTAAAAAATTCAAAAAGTCAAAAAGTCACTATTCTATTTAAGTCACATCATCTTGTTTAAGTCACATCACTTCTCTAACACATCACTTCAAACCTAATCCAAACTCAACTCATATTTCATAAAAAGTCAAAAAGTACACTTATTTAAATCATCTCAAACAACCCCTCTCTATTATAGAATTTCCCAAGTTCTAATAGTAAAAGTTAAAAAGACTGTTAAAGTGTCTTTTGACTTGTTAGAACAACTTCTGAGAGATTACAAATGGCCAAATAAGAAATTTTATACAAATTATAAATAACAAATTACAAAAATCGCCAAAAAAAATTAGTTGCGGTACTCTGTATCAAAATAAAGCCCAAACACATTGTCGGTGTTGCTATCGTCCCTGCCGCCTCTGCGCATCTCCATTGCTGTGTTGGCTACCTTCTTTAACTTTCGACACCACCTAAAGCCAAGAGTTGAAGAAGAAAAACACCTATAATAGTAAGGGAGAAGTGAGAGAAGAGGGGACTATTGTGAGTATTAAAAATTAAAAAATCTATGCAGGAATAGAAAAGAAGCTCTCAAACCCCTCTTCTTAGACATAAAAAATCTAAATCCACACTATAGAAGTGTTTTTAGAACTCACTGGAAAGATGCCAAAAATCTCCTAGAGAGAAAGGCTCTCCAACGCGTTTGTTAGGTCTCTAAATAAGATTACTTATGCTATTTTAACACAACCGATTCTCATAAATTTTTGACCATCACATCTACACCTCAACAAATTTATTGTGATCATGATTTAGTTTTGATGATGTGACAAAAATGACTTTAACAAACTTCAAGCCAAATTTTACACAAGATTTGGTTTGCCATTTTTTGGCAAGACATTTGGCTCACTATTGAAGAAGGATTTTTGAGATATCTAGCTAAAAAATAACTTTGGCAAGCCTTATAACTTTTCCATTAAGCTATGTTTAGATTATAGATTTGCGTTTGGATTTTGAAAGGAAAAAAAAAAACTAGTAAGTGAAATATAGGCAAAATGTAACTATATTTTATTTATATTTCACTCATATTTTTTCTTTCTATTTCCCATTCCTACACAAATTTATAATCCAAACACAAAATTACACTTATAGTACAAATAAAATATTTTTTTGACTATATCATTCTAACAGTTCACATGCTATTTTGACATAACAAATTCTTACATCAGGTTTTTACCATTGGATCTACTCAAATACTTTCTTGTGATCATGATTTAATTTTGTTGATGTGACAAAAATTGCTTTACAAAACTTCAAGTCAAATTTGAAGCAACAATTAATTTAATAATTTTTTGACAAGACATTCAACTACTCAATATTGGAGAAGATCTTCTAGCAACTTTTTAAGATGTCTACCTTTAAAAATAATTTTAGCAAGTCTTTTAACCTTCCGATTAGAGTTTCTCTTACTAGAGTTCAAACTTAAAAAATAATACCAGTTTGAAAATCCATCTATTTTAGAAACATACCATACCAAAGTGTTTTGAATGCAGTTTGGCATGTTGCATTCAAAATGATGCAGTTTTACATTACAGTATTCTAGACAATTTTTATATTTTATTTTTTAGGAGAAAGTCAGTAGCATCACTGTTTCCACAAATATGCCTATACACACAAAAGCATAATAGACTAATGCAGTGTTTTAATTTATAGAATGAAATGGAATGGTCCTTTCTTAGCCTCTTTACAAACAGACCATTTCATTATAATAGTGAACAATAATTTTATTTATAATATATATTTTAATGTTTTTAGTGAATCAAACGTGAAAATAAATATTATAATAGAATGATCATTTTGTTTTGTCTCGTTCCGATAAACCATATAGAACATAAAAAGTGTAGACTAACCAGATACACCTACTTGTTTTAAACTTCAAACAAATCCAAGAAGATGATAATTGCCACAAGAAGATGATAAAATGGGAGAAACAAACAAATCAATAATCCCATGTAGCTAAATATATTACAATTATTACTATGTATCATATATGATTATATCTAATCAAAGAGTGTCTTCTTCATGAACATTAACTTCACTTTTCTTTCAGTGGTTACAATGTAACATGAGTTTACCGAATTTCAATCCATGTCATCACTACAATAATATGAATGAATGATTAGCTAAAAGTAGCAGCAGAGATGGACCAAACCCCAAATCCTTTTCTGCTTCCTATTTGACTTTGACACATGGTGGTCCTCCCCCACTGTCCCTAATTAATGCATGATTAAGTGGGCTGTCTCATAAAAGGACATTATTACTTTGTCCATATACAAGAAAAACCCATAAAAATTAGGAAGAACATGTTTGATTCTCCTAAGAAAAAGTAATCTAAAAAAAGTTTCTCTAATTTGGCATATCACTGCAAAAAATTTAGAAATAAAATTATTTTTTGGGATCAAATATTTTTGTTATAAAATGTTGTTATTATATTTTTAGAACTGAAAATTGAACATTAGTGATGAATTATTATCTTTTTAGAACCAAATTTTTTGTCTCAAAAAATAAATTATTTTGTCCCTAAAAGTCTACTTATTAATGACATTTTCAAAATTTTGTCGCTAAAAGTTTTGTTTTTTACTTTACGGGAAGACCTTTTAGTGATTATCCTCACGACACTAGAAATTGGTCTCTAAATGTCTTTTGCAACAAAATTTTCACTTTTAGAGACTACGAAATTTAGTCTCTAAAACTCTTATATGTTGTAGTGTATAATGATGTTTCATGATACATATTTAATTTTAATTTGTCACATTTAATTATATAAGACTCAATTTTCTTGTCATATTGTTTAGTGAATTTATAGGTTTAAAATTGTTAATTTTTATCATTTCTCTAGAAATTATAGCAGTAATAGGCAAGTTCATCCTACAATTTTAGGGTTAATTACATTTTAAGTCCCCAAACTAAGAAATTTATGCAATTTTGCATTTTAATATTTAAATTGCGTCAATTTAATTCTCAACATATGAAGAGTGTTTCAATTAGGTCACTAAACCAAACTCCATCAATTAACACCTTTAAAGAAAGGGAAAAATGTGTAATTTTATACCAAAATGCCGCATCACATATTTAAAACTGTAATTTTTTAAACACAATAATGACACATTTCGTATTTTCATACTAAAAGTGTAATTTTTTAAGTGAATATCTATATTTATTCTTACCTTAAACGGCGTCTAATGATGGAGTTAAATTAGGGGCCCAAATTGAAATACATTTTATACATGAAGAACTAAATTGATACAATTTAATCATTAGGAACCAAAAATAGCATACTTTGGGGACTAAAATTTATATTGGGAACACAATCACCTAATCAATCAATAGTTATATGATACATGTATCTATTTCTAGATAAGATTGAACTCTCCATTCATAAGCTCTCCAAAAAATTTCCACTAGGCTCAGGAGTATATGATTTGCCTCCAGCACTGAAGAAAAAGAGGGGAAGAAAATGTTTAGGTTCTCTTCTATGAAATTTTTTATAAAACTGTATTTCTTGTTTCAAGTGATAAGACCAAATATACAACTGGGTTCTTAGAATTCTCAACTTGTCTAACAAATTTTAATGAAGAATAATGCAGCACAAATCTCCCAAAGCAAATAAGAGTATTCAATCAAGGAAGTTATTCAATAATTCAGGAATATCACGTGGCCATATTCTAAACCAATCACTAATTATTTAGCTCATGTTGTTCCCCATCCTCAACATAAATTGTGGAGCCCTATCACTTTCTACCAATCAAAACCTTATGGAGCACCACGTGTTCATACTTCGGAATAGTGAATAATCACCCATTGAAACATTACCTGAGTTAAGCTCCATAGTATAGTCATGAATTATTGTTTTCCACTGCTTTTAACTCGTTGATGGCCTACATATCATCCGCTCATCCACATGCTGTTGTTCGATACTATGTTAAAACAAAATATTAAAAAAAAAAAATGGAACAACACTTATCTCAGATGACTACCAGACAAAATTAGCTCATCTTGAATAGTTAATTTTTGAAAGATGCAAAAGGATTCTTTTCTGTCCACATAATTGGACTCCAATCAAATGCTGAAATCACAAATTTACTATGTTCATTTTATTGTCACTTCAGTGGCTCCTATTCATTTCGCAATCTTGACAGACAGGACGCCTAATGCGGACTGTATTGCCCATGCTACTGACCTCACTAACGACTACTTAAATCAGAATTCATAGAGATGAACTAGCAAAGAACCAAGAAAATCTGTGAGATACAGCCCTATGTGAAATTTAGAGGTCCTGAATATATTCTAGCGGTTGAGCGGAGACACAGCTAGTGTAAACATGAATTTTTTGAGGTTCATCCCACTGTTAATACTGACACTTCTTATTACAATTACCCATCATGCATGTGTGGTTGCAGAAAAGAACCACCTCGAAGTAAAGAAGACTTACATCGTTCACATGGACAAGTCATCTATGCCATTGAGTTTCATTGATCACTTCCAATGGTATGGCTCGTCTTTAAAATCAGTCTCGGCTTCTGCGGACATGCTTTATGCCTACAACGACATAATCCACGGCTTCTCTGCGAGGCTAACAGCTGAGGAAGCCAAGTCACTTGAAGGCCAAACTGGGATTCTTTCTGTCCTAGAAGAAGTGAAATATGAGCTTCATACAACTCGTACACCACAGTTCCTTGGACTCGGTACAAGTGAAGCACTCCTCCCAGATTCTAGTGCAGTGAGCGACGTAGTTGTTGGGGTGTTAGACACAGGTGTGTGGCCCGAGATAAAAAGCTTCGATGATGCCGGACTCAGCCCGGTGCCTAGAAGCTGGAAAGGGGTGTGTGAGGTAGGCAACAACTTCAACTCATCAAGTTGTAACCGGAAACTAATTGGTGCAAGGTCCTTTTCAAAAGCGTATGAAGCAATTTTCGGACCAATTGATGAGAAAATGGAGTCCAAGTCACCAAGGGACGATAATGGCCATGGAACACACACGTCAACTACTGCAGCTGGGTCAGCTGTTGCTGACGCTAGCCTCTTCGGCTATGCTGCAGGGGCAGCAAGAGGGATGGCTAGTCATGCCAGAGTAGCCATATACAAAGTATGTTGGCTTGGAGGCTGTTTTGGCAGTGACATAGTAGCTGCAATGGAAAAGGCCGCTCAAGATGGTGTCAATGTTCTCTCACTATCAATTGGCGGCGCACTTTCTGATTTCTATAGAGATAGTGTAGCTATTGGAGCATTCGGGGTAATGTCAAAGGGAATTTTCATATCATGCTCGGCCGGAAATAGCGGTCCTCGTTCCATGACCGTGTCAAACGTTGCACCATGGATAACCACCGTAGGTGCTGGAACTCTAGACCGTGACTTCCCGGCATATGTTAAACTTGGTAATGGAATGAATTTATCTGGCGTTTCAATTTATAGTGGAAAGCCATTATCTGATTCCCTCGTGCCACTTGTGTACGCTGGTAATGCAAGTAACTACTCAAATGGTAATCTATGCATGACTGGCGGTTTGGTTCCCGCGAAAGTTGCTGGGAAAATAGTGGTATGTGATCGAGGGTTCAATGCTAGGGTGCAAAAGGGAGCGACAGTAAAAACTGCCGGTGGCGCAGGAATGATCTTAGCAAATACTGATATCAATGGGGAAGAACTAGTGGCCGATGCACATCTCGTAGCCACTGCAGCTGTGGGTCTGACAACAGGTGAAATGATAAAGAATTATATATTTTCCGATTCTAATCCAACAGCCACAATTATATTCGGAGGCACCCAGTTGGGTGTCCAACCATCACCAGTTGTGGCAGCGTTTAGTTCAAGAGGTCCAAACCCAATCACGCCAGAAATACTCAAACCGGATTTGCTAGCACCGGGTGTCAATATCCTAGCTGGTTGGACCGGTGCAGTTGGACCGACAGAAATGGAGGAAGACACCCGGCGGGTGAACTTCAACATCATTTCCGGTACATCGATGTCATGTCCACATGTGAGTGGGCTAGCGGCGCTACTCAAAGGAGCCCACCCAGAGTGGAGCCCGGCAGCTATAAGGTCTGCGCTGATGACCACAGCCTACACCACCTACAAGAATGGGAAAACTATACAAGATGCTGCAACTAGACAACCATCGACGCCATTCGATTATGGTGCTGGCCACGTGAAGCCAGTATCAGCCCTTGACCCAGGCCTCATCTATGATGCCACAATTGATGATTATCTAGGCTTCCTTTGCGCCTTAAACTACACTTCAAATCAAATTATGATCATCACAAATCAATATTTTACCTGTGAGTTGGGAAAGAAATACAGCTTGGGAGATCTTAATTACCCCTCATTTGCTGTTCCATTACAGACAGCCTCAGGCCCAGGTGGTGGTAGTAATGCAGTGACCGTGGTTAAGTATACCAGAACTTTGACTAATGTTGACATGCCGGCCACATACAAGGTTTCAATGTCTTCAGAGACACGGGCGGTGAAGATGGTGGTTGAGCCGGCGTCGCTGACTTTCAGTAAACCTAATGAGAAGCAGAGTTATACAGTTACATTCACTGCTAGTTCTATGCCATCAGGCATTGTCAGCTTTGCTCGTCTGGAATGGTCAGATGGAAAACACATTGTTGGAAGTCCAATTGCTTTCAGCTGGACATGATTATACTAATATTGAAGGGGTATAGTAATCATGAACGGTATGAATAGTTTTTATGCTTGTGAATAAACTAGTTTATGTATAAACTAGCTGGTGTTTTACATTTTGATATTCTTATTTACGTTCTACCAACCGTGCAAACAAAGATGATCATATTTGTTAAATATAGAAACTATATATTCTATTTATCATACTTACCATATATCTTTATTACCATATTGTGCATTACCATATTAGCTTCTCCTTCTTCTATATAAAGGAGTCTTGTATTCACTCACATTAATTATTGAAATATACAAAGTTATATTAATAGAACAAAAATGAAATAGGTTTGGGACAGGTTGAGAAATGGTCAACCATGTATGAGATTGGAATCTATCCACTGGAATTCTACCTTCGTTTTCCTGGTTTTAACATTACCTATTGCCCTACCATCTTCCATGGTAGCATCATTGAAGTAATATAGTGAGCGAAAGTTGCATCACAACATCACGTGATGATGAAAAGGACATAGCAGTTTCACATGGAGGCCCATGGACCAGGCAATTGTAAAAGGGAACCATCGGAAACTGGCTTTTCACCATACAAACTCCTTGACTGCTAGATTTGTACAAAATCGAATTTCAAAAATACGTTTGACATAGGAGAGTAAAGTCAAATATGCAAAATTGTCCTCAAACTAGTTTTAAATGAGCAACAGAACAAGATCGGCAGAGCTAAGGAATAGGTTTTCAGTAACATGTTTGTGACCTTTTTTTCTTTTCTTTTTTTGATCAGCAAAGGAGGAAATAGTACTGATGAAACAATGAAGACACAAATACAAGAATCAGGCTGAGAACAACATGCAAACCATGGGGAAAGAAAGCGTCATTACTTGACCCATGGATCAGAACCAGGTTGGCACCTAAGGGAAAGTCAATCATATATGCTACCACCACAGAAATCAAATGTTGGCAAGGTAACAACAGAGGAAAATAAAAGAAAGCAAAATAAAATTCAGGAAACCAGCAAGAGTATCAGAACAGTCCCCAGTTTAGCCCAAGTCATAGCCGCTAAACCCACCAATAAGGCCAGGCACCAGTGTCTCAAAAGAAGTAAAATCCTCATATGATTGTAGGAACCACGAAGAAGGACTCAGCAACCCAAATATGATTGAGATGATGAATGAAATCATTAGCAGAGTAACCCAAATTCTTATGCTTACTTTTGACCCAAAGGGAAATTCTAACTTTAATTAATTCCACAACTCTCTTCCCATTGAATTCAGCTTCATTGTAGTTGTTGTCGTTCCTAGCCTTCCAAATTGACCAAAACATACCAGATGCAGAGTATAAGAAGCTCAAGGAAGCGATGATATTTGGACATCGGCATGATTTTAAATAGAAACCAATGGGAACATTATAAAATTATGTTTCTAGTGTTATTAAGTATTATTTTATGATTATTTTTATGTTTTCTAAGATTTTCAGGTTGGGTACTTTGATAATTTTCATATTTGCTGACATGAGTAATAAAGGGCTGCCCATGGGTTGTCTTGTAGATCAAATTATTTAATTGATTTTTATTTATATTTCTTATTTTGTCTTAAATTGGTTTTGGAAGTCAAAGATGCCTAGACTTTTTCTTCTTCTTTCTTCATTATTTCCTGAATAAATTCGGCATATTTACTGTTACTGAATGATGGTTCACAACTCCTAAACAGCCCTTACTTCGATCTCTTTCACCTGGTTTATCAATCCTAAACCTACTTCATTCCATTCATTAATTGAAATCCTAAAATGCCCATTGATTTTCAGCTTTAAACCACCATAAAAACCCACCGAAAATTCAGCTTTTAAGTCCTTACAGTGTTGTCCTGCATCAGTGGCTAAGGGGATAACTTCCAGGCCCCGCCAACTAAGACATTCCACCCAAATTTGAGCAAGGATCCTCTAGAGAGGATCCTTGGTGCCCAAATTTTCCATGAAGCTTTCAAATGAATAAGAAGATGGTTGATTGATTCAATCTCGCAATTATAGAGAATGCAAAGTGCAGAAAAATTTTCAGAGAGGTTGAGCCTTCCATTCCAAACTAACCATCCCAAAAGTTGGACTGGAGGTGGGGCAAGATTTTCCCATAAAGGCTGAGGAGGGGTGTGATTTTGGGCGGTAAAGATTATCAAATATCATGTACAGAGAACGCAGAGAGAGAACAAATTAGGGCAATCAACACTAGTAATGCCTGAGACATTCTCGGAAGATATGAACATACAATTATTTATGTTTGATTGCTTAGCATCTTGATTGTTTTGTGACGTGAAATATCAAGAGTGAACTTAGGAATGCTATAGTTTTGAAAGCCTTAAAGATTTAAACTTCCTTGCCGTGTGTTGGGAGTTCAGGGACAAAAGGAATAGTCTTCTTTTGAGCACAAAAGGCACGCATGTATTTCCGAAGTCTTAAGGTGCATAATGTGTGTGATCTAAGGTGCTGGATAATTATATGAATTGTATGAAACCTTAATTGGGATTAGTGATAATTAAGTAGATTAATTAGGCTTAGGTTTGATTTGGCAACATCACATTTTAGCTTAAAAGTTAGAAAGTTATCAAATAAGCCCAAAAATCAACCGTTTCAGCCAAGCCCGTGACTTACATGCTTTGAGGGCACGGATATGGACACGAGACACGATACGGACACACAAATTTTCAAAAAACGAAGGACAAAACACCTTAGGGATACGTTCAATATATATAATTTTATTTATTTATTATATGTCTAAAATAAAAAAATAAAAAAAAAAGGTTCATTGGAAGGTAATTAAAAATGCAAAATAACACTAAAAAAAAAATTAAAAGAAACATACATTTCACTACTTTAACATCAAATGTCATATTTAAGAATAAAAATTAGTATGAAATTACAATAATAATATAATTAATAAACACATTCAACAAATTAATTTTTCTAACAAATAAAAATAATTATTTCTATATATATGTTCACGGTTAAGAAAACAAGAATATCCAAAAAAAAAAAAATAGAAAAAATGAAAAGAGAGGAAAAAAGAAAAAAAAAAGAGGGGCTCAGATATAAATAAAAAAAATTTGTTATAAAAAGAAAAAGAAGATATTTTTAATCTCTCATCGGAGAGAGAAGAAAATAAACAAAAAATAAAAAGTATTTTTAATCTCTCATAAGAGAATAAAAAGTATATATATATATATATAAATAGAAAACGGAGAGGAAGAGAGACGAAAACATAGAGAGAGAAAGAGAGAGATGAACTACGTAAAAACGAGAGACAGAGAGGAGATGAAATGCGAGAGAGAGAGAGAGAGACGACCTGTGCGAACTAAAGAAAGAAGAAGAAAACAAAGCAAAGAAGAAGAGCGAAGGATACCTAGATCTACGCTTCAACTGGTTCTTCACCTACTTGAGTTTCAACAGGTTTAGGTTCTTCTTCACCCTTTTTCTCTTCTCTCTTCTATGTTCTTCTTTTCTCCTTCTTTGATTCTCTTCTTTTCTCTCATCTCTCTCTTCTTTTTTGGTTTTCATTTTTTACAATTTGGCCCCATATAGAAGCTTCAAAATTACATTTTGTACCTTTCGGTGTTCGAAACGTTTCCGAGCATGTCCATGTCATGATCCAAACCCGCCCTTATAGGTTTAGCATCGTGATCAGCCAGTAATCCTAGGATTACCGAAAGCCTCTGAAACAGATAAACATAATAAGGGGGCTAGTGGAAGTAAATATTAAAATACAATATCCATAGAGTTATGTAGACTTACATGGGACAGAAGATTTAAAACTTATATTCACATATAAATAGTGACGTCATATATACATATCATTGTTTTATGTCACTCTTACATATAGATAAACAAAAGTCTTGTCCAAGTAGAAGAAAAGGAAAGATAAAAACAAACGTCACGTGCACAAAACTTAATCACTTGAACCACTTGGGAAACTCTTCGGGAGACACATTGGTTGGCTTGACAAGACAGAACTCCAGGCAACAACTTATGCTTGGTCCTACACTTGATCACCTACATACATAATAATACAGTGAGCTAAAGCCTAGTGAATAACAACATGGTAAAGGATTTATGAATGATGTCCCATTAGATTTAAAAATCAGATTTTAGATCAGGAACAGATTTAGATTCACTTGCTTGTATAGATTTCATAAACAATCATACGTGGTACATCCATTAGCTAATAGATCGGATTGGTCATAAAGACCCACGTGCAGAGTAAGTGGTCATTAAAACCATAGTCGGTACCGACGACCATATAGGTCAACATCTTTGTGCACATATAGCCATGGTATTGTTACCCCTAGGTGAGGGCCACATGAACATAGGCCACGATATTGTCATCCCTCGGTGAGGGACATACAAACATAGACCACGTGAACATAGGATGCCACATTACATTACAGAAAATTAGACATCTATTTATGGTTTACAAATAGCATTTTAGAAAACAGATCATATCATTTCAGTCAGAACATACTTATAATCAAACATAACTTTATAGAATTGTGACTCACATATAGCTCCAATAGTAGAATAGATCACTAGAACAGAACCGACTGATCAGGCGGGCGATAACACGAGACCAATACAAACACATGATAGATACACATTGAACACACGTGCCAAAGGTGTTTAACTTGTCATTCTTCTATCTTAGCGTGTGTTTCTAACTCTTATCTTCATTATTGTTGCTTAATCATGGCCTAAGAATGCCTTAGATGCAATAAGGATGCAAAAATGCACTTTGGAATACTTAACCAAATTTCTGAAAAAAGGGTAGTTCGCTCGAATGAAATTTTGGTCACTAGAGCAGTCTGTAAAGTCTGTGAAAGTACTGGATGCTCGATTTTCATACTTGACGGTTGCTTAAGCCAAGGTTCAAAGCAAAGGTTGGTTGCTCGAGCTCAACTTTAGCCGCTCGAGCCAACCCCCAAACTCTGCTAAACTTCTAAGAGCTTGAATTTCACGCTCAAGCGAAGGAACCGTCGCTTGAGCGATCATGCCGAATTCTGGAATTTTTAGATTGCTCTCTAAGCTTCAAAACACATTCTTTTGGGCCAAAACTTGAGAAAACAGGTGTAGACTTGTAAAACCTCATGAATTAAAGATCATTTCACAAAATCAAAGCCTAAAAGCAAGTCAATTATGCAAAACCAAACTTGAAACTTGAGATATAACCCAT